ACATAGTTTATAAAGGACACCTGAGTCTCAGTGAGAGGTGGGCCACTTTCTCTCCAGCTGCTTAGGGTGACTTCTGCAGAGTGACGCCCCAGGTCTTTGATAGAGAACTAACTCTCAAGCCCTCTATGAGCTATTTCTCTTCTCCCTCAGCTGGAGGAATGAAGGAGCTCTTTTCCTCATTCGGCCTAAATTTCTGCACAGCAGCTGTGGCCCTGTCTCTAGCTATGACGGACCTCACCCCTGGGCACAATAGAAACTGCATTATGAGCTGCTGGGGTTGTTGAGAGTGGATCATGAAAAACAAAAGAGTTCCCCCTTTCCTCAGACTCAAGCATATTTTATCTCAAGCATTCTCCAAAACTCCTTTTTCTGGATTCAGGCTGCTCCAGCCGCCTTTGCGATGAGGAGAAAGAACGGGAAACAGCTAAGGGTATTAAAAACATTGTACCCTTGAGAAAAGCTGGATGCTAAACTGTGACCAACAGAGGTTATTATTGTTCATCCCACGGTAGGAAAATGTCCGTTTTGGGAATGGGAAGCTACAGGCTCATCGTGGACAAGACTTTTCTGTCCGGCACTGTCTCCGTCAGAATCTTAGCAGGATAGCATCAGCGTCAGCGGGTCCCCATCATCTCTGAGAGCTGCCGTAAGCTTCACCCTGTTTGATGATGTTTGAGATCTGCCTGCTGCTTCTCTCTAGCCGATTCTTGTCATTCATTCTTCTGCCTTTACTGACTTTATATGTACTTTATAAACTCGCTCATTAGAAACTAAAGAATGGTAGATCATTCTCCGTGTGGGTCTCGAAGGCTTAGTGTGTGGTTCGTAATGGCACTGCTCACGATGGCTAACGATTGGCTACATTTGATCTTTATCCCTTTAAGAACACAGGAACGGGGCTGGTGAGATGGCTCAGTGGTTAAGAGCACTGACTGCTCCTCCAGAGGTCATGAGTTCAAATCCCAGCAACCACATGGTGGCTCACAACCATCTGTAATGAGATCTGATGCCCTCTTGTGGGTGTCTGAAGACAGCTACAGAATACTTACATATATAAATAAAATAAAAATTCTAAAAAAAAAAAAAAAAAAAAAAAAAGAACACAGGAACGCTGGGATTCAGATCACAGCTGTATATCTATCAGCTCCGTGGTCTTGGTAAATTGTTAGCTTGGCTTCATTTCCTCCCTCTGTGAGGTAGAGATAATAATATTCATAATGATATTTTTATTCACTCTTTCTTTTTCTTTTCTAGTTTTCTCTTTCTTTTGAAACAGGGTCTCTCTATAGAGCCCTGGCTGTCCTGGAACTCCCTATGTAGACCAGGCTGGCTTTAAACACACAGAGATCCGCCTGCTTCTGCCTCCCAATTGCTGAGATTAAAGATGTGTGCTACCATACTTTGTTCATAGTGATACTTCAACCTCATCAGTTACAGGAATGAGTTGAATAAGCTATAATGTGTAGTGTACTTGGAACAGGGTGCAGAACCCAGAGTGATTCTGCCTAAAAGTTTCCTACCATGGCAGTGATGATGGTATCCTGTCTGTGGCTGGTGTTACCTCAGGCACTGCCCATGACCTCACAAGGCCCCTTCCTCACCCTAATTGTGACGTTTCTCAGGCATTTGTCTTAGCTTTATCCCAGACGATGCTTGGATTCTTTCTGGCACAATCCAGTCTCTAGTTTATGGGCAACAGCAGCCCATGTTCATGTCTTGTCTTTGGGAGCTACAATGGGCTATTTCTAGCCAAGTTAAATATTCTTCAGTATTTGGAATTGTTTGGGGGATATGACGTTCATGTCCTCCCTAGTTTCTGATTAAAACCTGCCGGGTCATCTTTGGCCTCTCTTCAAGTGCTACAACAAATCCTGGAGTTTTTGCTTTCATAATGTACCTGGTATGGGCTGTCTTCACTATGTCCACCATTTTTCTTCCAGCAACAACTCCCAAGTGCTCATTCAGTTTAGTCCCAGATTTTGCCCTGGCTCCTCCAGCTCTGCTTCCTGCCTGACATTCCTGCCTTGACACCTCCCCTTTGACCTCAGCCTTCCAAATCCTCCAAGCCCTAGATGGGAACCCTCAAGCCCCTAAAGCAGTTTCCAAGGCTCGGCAGGACCTGGATCTTCCTGTCCCTCTTTTTCCTCACCCACCTCCTCCTCATCCATGCCAGCTTCCTTGCTGTTCCCTGAACTATGCTGTTGGGCAGGAGAATTTCTCCGTCTTCCCCAGGGGATGTTGCCTCTCCTATGTCTACAGAGCCTGCTCCTTATGCTGACTGGCTTCATGGTTTTGAAGCAGAGAGAGACTTGTTTTCTTTCTGGAGGTTTGCATCCAATAGTGCATGGCTCCACAGATTTGGGCCTCTGACTGGGGTGATGCCTAAGAACTGAGAACCTTCCTAAAGCGTACCCCCTAAAGGTACCCGGCACCCTGAGCCCACCACACGAAGTGAAGCAATAACACCCACTCTCCATGCCTATCTGTCCCTACTAGAATGTGTAGCCTCCTTTTGAGCCAGGACTTTGTCTTGCTTACCCAGATGGACTTTGTCTTGCTTATCCCACTGCTTAGAATATAGCAGAGGCTTGAACAGCAGTCATTAAAGAAACAAGAGAAGAAATAACAATCTCCATTTTATTCTTCTATCCTTATCTTCTTCCCCACCCCCACTCCACCCCACCCCCAATTCCCAAATGGCTGGGAAGCAGAGTATGAAAATGTTAGTCCAGGACAAAGGCAAAGAGACAGACAGGAGGTGAGAATAAATGAGACTTTGAGGCTTCTTCAGGGAGTGCTGACTTCTCAGTGGACAATGACTGAGGGTAGCCAAATTTGGCTGTCAGCAAGAATTTGTATTCTCTTAACTGGCTAGAATATTTTAGTGTCCTTTCCTCCTCCCCGAGATGTGAGGATGAGTGAGGCTCTGTTGTAGGAATAAATAGACCCCCTGAACAGGAGGTACACATTTTAAATCACTTCCTTCTTTTTTCTTGGTTGGGAGCTGCTGTATCTGCATTTACAGAGGTTTGTGCTTTCTAGGAAGAGTTATAGAAACTGCCCTGGGTTCTAGGGAGAATTATAGAAACGGTCCTGGGTACAAATGGTAAGGACGTCTTTAAAGAATTTTCTTTATAGAAAGGGGCTTTAGGTCCTACACCTTGGCGTTCTGAGCAACCAAACTGAGAACATGGGGTGCTGTTCTTGACTCTTGGGAAGGATGACTTCCTGTTTTCAGTGCTGGAGGCAGCAAAGTGTCATCCTACTCCAGGCCCCTCTGCTTTTCCCAAGGATTTGAGAGGATGATAAACCCAATCTGTTGTTTCCTTCTTCTGTCATAAACACATTCATTTACTTCATGGCTGAAGAGTCTCACTAAGGGACTATCCTTTTTGTTCCTGAGAAGGTCTGAAGTCACTTCCCAGCATCTTCTCCTCCGGAAAGCTCAAGACCTGGTACAGGTCATTTCAGTTTACTCCTGGAAGCTCACAGCTGGTGGTTTAGATCTGAGGGGGAATCATCCAGCAGCCCCAAGCTGGACCATCATAGAGACAGCTTTTAAGAGGAACGATTGACTCTACTTGTAGGCTCTACAACTTCTGAAACTTCTCAAGAGTACTCAATCCCTGCTCCAGGGCAATTAGAGAAGGTATCTGATTTTCCAAAACCTTCTGGAAGGTAGCCTTCTTATCTGACACAGGGCATCTTGCCTCTGGCAGGGCTTAGCATTGCTGGCTCGGGCATATGAATTTGTGGATCCAAGCTGCCAGGAAAAGTGTCAGAAAGCAAAGGGCTTCCGTCAGAGGTATTTTCTTGAAGAGAGTCCTACAAATCCCCTTCCCACTAAATAACTGCTTCATCACAAAGGGCAGCCCAATGTCTGGGGGTAGGGGGATGCTGTTTTATTGTGGGGCAACTCGTGAGACCAGACGACAGGAAGTGACGGGGCTCCAGTCAGGAGCTTCCTGTAATTTTCCCCATTCTGAAATCTAAAGGAAAAGTTACTTCTGGCCGGCTAATGCTGTTAGCCGATTGTCAGACTACCGTCAAACACTGTAGCCCGAAAAAGTCCCCACTGGGAATTCTCTAGCAACAAATGAAAGCCCTGGCTAAGGCCCCTGAGGACTGACTGAGCAAAGCCCTTCTCTGTGGGAGCCCCTCCCCCACACTTGGGGCTGCAGCGAGTAGAAATGCCGGTGTGTGGTGAGCTTTGCCACACTAGCCCGCAGTTTTAAGGCAGCTGTAGACCCCACTCGGGGACAATGTATCCCATTCCTTACAGCCAGGACGACCTCCGCCTTAACAGACAATACTTTAAAGGCGTTGTTTACAAATCAATTTCCTCTTCTAAATAGGCTGCTCCAAGGGTAGACCCTTCTGCTCGCCCAGACTAGGCCCACCTGTCACTGGGGCTTCCTAGCCAGTGGCCACACTGTATTGATCTTTTTAATCCCCTCCCTTTGAAACACAGAGCCAGCTGATGTGGGGTTCCTCAAAAGACTCCCTCGGCTCCTACCTCTACAGGTAGCTGAGGATCGGGACTAATTCCACACTAGAAAGTCTTAATTGGCTTAGGGGGTGCCTGAAAGTTCTCCCTTGTGTTTACAAGGCGAAAAGAATCGATGGCTCACAAGTGCCTTAATCTGTCTCCCTCGTTCTTGGCGATAGTCAGGTGCGTTTTCTTTTTAAGTTGTTTTTGAAACAGGATTGGAGGGTTTGGAGATGGTGGATAATGTTTCACTTTACAGGTGGAGCTGCCAAGGGAAGGAGGGGAGAGCCCCAGAGACACCACTATTAGGCAAGGAAGCGGGTGACTTATTTTTTTTCTTATTTTTTTTTATTTACACGAAGCATCTGCAGTACAAAAATGTAAACTTTAATAGCTCATAATAATAGAATAAATTCTTTATGTACAAAAATACATTTTCATATGAATGAAGCATCCTGAATAAATTAATGTACCCTCCAGCCCGGTGCCTGAATAACTCTGCAAACACTCAGGTTCTTCCTGGAGCAAGCCCACAGTGGCGGGGGTCGGGATCCATAATGCATGAAGCCCACTCCTTGTGGCTCCTTTCTAAGCCTTTCCATTGTATTGTCAGCCGGCTCAAACCGAATTTTCATGCTCGTTTTTCTTCATTAGAGTTCTACAAATTGTAAAATTGACTTTTCACCTCGTCTTCGGGGGCTCATCTGTCCCTTTTCCAAAACACACTGAAGTGGTGGCTGGGGTCAGTTCTGAGCCAGTCACAAAGGAGGTTTTGTGAAGTTCAGAAAGTGCAAAAAAAAAAAAAAAAAAAAACCCCCACCCGCCGGGGGGGGGGGGGGGGGGCGCCCTCGGTGCTGGTGGTGGAGAAACAGACCGAGGGGCAGCTTCAGCGAGGGTGCAGCAACCTAACAAGTTGTCAGGTATCCCCATCCACCCCCCCCCTTTAAAGCTCCCAGCATTCACTTGGGGTTAAGGGTGGTCCACGAGGCTTCAGACGGTTCCCCATCTATTGCTCTTAGACTAGGGGAGGAAGGAAGTATTGATGTTGCCTTACAAAGGCCTAGTGATACGGGATGAAACAGGGCGTCGCGTGGAGCAGGTCTTTGGGCAGGCCAGGAAAGGAGAAAAGGGGGTCACCGGGGCCATAGGCGAAGTCTTCTGAAGCTGAGGGACTACTGGGGTCAGAGAGTGGTGACGCCACGGTGGCGCATGGGGAGGCAGCGGCCCCGGAGCCCCAGGACTCCGTGTCGCTGGCCGGGCTCGGGGGCCCGGGTAGACAGGGGACACACTGCGGAGGCAGGAGGCGCTCCCGGGCACCGCCCCCGGGGAGCCCTTGATCTGCAAGGCGCAGTGTCTCAGCCAGGGCCCAGATGTAGTTGTAGGCAAAGCGCAGCGTCTCAATCTTGGTGAGCTTGGTGTCGTCGGGGAACGAGGGCAGCACGCTGCGCAGCGCGTCCAGCGCAGCGTTGAGGTTGTGCATACGGTTACGCTCGCGATCGTTGGCTTTGACGCGACGGCTCCTCCGCAGGGAGTGCAGCAGTGCCTCGGACCGCACCCGCGCGCGACCTCGCCGCCGCCGCCGCTCCTGCTCTTCGTCCTGGGCAGCGGGAACATTAGATGCCCCGGAGAGGGTGGGCGCGCTCCTGCGGGCTGGCACGGACAGCCCTACGGTGGAGGCTAGTGGCTGGAGCCTGGCACAGTCCTCCTCGTCGGTGAGGAAGCTGGACAGGTCACTACTGCTGTTGTTGCTGGCGCAGTCAAGATCAGAGAGGCAGGTCTCCAAAGGGGCAGGCATCGTTGCAGTGTGCAGGACCGACCGACGGACAGGAGGTTTAGAAGGCTTGAGTGTGGGCCGAGGACACAGCCTTCGAAACGCACTTACTGTCCGTACGACCCGGGGCTAGCCTGTGCCTGCTGCAGGCTCGAGGGCCGGGGAAGATCGCAGGGGCTCAGGGAAGGAATGGGCTTGGCCTCGTCGCCTCGCCTGCAGGGGCCACGCGCCGGGCTGGTCTCCCGAGTGATGTCGCCGGCGATCAGATCAGCTCGTGTGAGCACCGAGTGTGGCACACGACCGGCCTCAGGACCCCTTAAGTACGGCGCGCAACAATGGGCGCCCCCTCCCTGGCCACCTCCGCCCCCGAGGCGGCGCGGGTGAATGGCGAGAGGCGGCAGGTCAGCCCCGTGCGGCGCTTGCTATTTGCATAATTTATGCTCGCGGGAGGCCGCCCCCGCCCAGCCCCCCTCCTGGAGCGTGCCCGTAATTATCGCCGGCCAATCGGTGGCCCAGCCTGCCCCGGGAGCCGGATCAAGCGAGGGAGGCCCGGGCGTCTCGGGCAGGGAAACCCGGGCGAAGGCGGGGGCCGGGGGCGATTAGCGGCCGGCCGAGGCACACTCCTCCCAGGGGCGCGCGGGTGCCCCTCGCCGGGGTTGGATGAGGAGGCGGAGCCCTGGCAGAAAGTGTGAGCTGCGCGGCGGGTGACGGAGAGCCCGGACTGAGGCTGGAGTTTGGGTTCGCATCCCTTCTCCTGCTGTTCAAGACCCTCGTGAATTTGAGCGAGTGGTTTCTTCTCTCCAAGCCACCTGATGTTTCTTTATTTAGATGAAGGGACACAAATGTAGCTCTGGACGTACTCGTAGGTCCCCGGGCGGTCCTGTCACACGGGGCGCTTTTGAAATCGTGCGGGTTGCGGTGAGCAGCGCCCTCTGAGTGACCATCTGCATCCAAACAGACATAAGAGAGAGAGGACCAGTAAACAGCTACAAGTCTCAGGGAAGGGGTAGGTGTCTCTGCTCCGCTAAGGTTAGTGAAGAAGAGAACAAGCGAAAGACCTAAAGACCCAGTGAATTCCCAGGTTGTTCTGGTTACTGGCCCCACTCCGCCCTGCCCGCGTACCCCTCCTCAAAGACTCATGAGGTAACAGGCGTTATGCCAACGCCCTCTTCTGAAACCTTTCTCTCCTCATTTCTAAGAATTCTCTTGTGCCGCACGTTTTGGAATGGCGCTAGCTTCAGGGGCCCACCCCAGTACCAGATGGCTAAGGGACTTAGCTTCTGTCCAGGAGAGAGATGTCCCACGAGAGCAGCAAGCACACAGTGGAATTCCGTCCCCACCCCTTCTGCCAATTTGCCTATAAACTTACCTAGTCCAGAGAATGTCCTCATTCTGTGGGTCGAGTTATTTTCTTGTTTGCCAGACAGCAGGAGAGGTCTGGGCAGCCTCTCAGATGCACCTGAGAGGAGTTACTTATTAAGGAACAACCCTGGATTGTGGGGTCAGGTATTAAAAACAAAAGGAACACCCTGGAGGCCCCCCTCCTCCATGATATCTGAGTGGAGGCCTCAGGCCTTGCCTGTCGTCCTCAAAGGGGCTCTGTCCAGGACACCTGCGCCTTGGTGGAGAAGGCACAGCCTCTTTCCCTATGGCTAGCTCTTGTCCCGTGGCTCCTTCCCTCTGCAGCAGCTAACATAGATACGACTTATGCAGAATGCTAGGACACGGTTATAGATAAGGGCTTGAGGTGGTTTGTAAGGAGTGACAGGAAATGGCTGTAATCAGATTATGCAAGAAAAAGTAAGTAATTGTTGACAGATCCTCGGGCATTCTCCTGAGCCCAAGGGCTGCTGGGAGTTGTGCAACAGTAGCTCTGGGGTAAACCTTGCCTCTTTCTGTCCCTGTGACAGCTTCTGGTGGTTCCAGCATACCAGCACCAGCCTGACCTTGTGACAGTTCCAGGCACTCTATTTACTTTTTGGGGCTTCCATAGAAATTACTACACAGTGGGTTCATTAAATCTACAGAAGATTGTTCTTCTGAGGCTCAGAAGGTCAGAAGCCCAAAACCAAGATGCCAGGAGGCCTAGTCCTTTTCAATTTCTTGTGGCTCCTGGATGTCCTGGTCACTAGTTCATAACTGAAGCACGTAGTTCTGCCTCCTGCCTTCACCAAGTCCTTCCACATGACCCTGTGTCTTCTTAAGGAGAATTGCAGGACTCTGGGGCACTGCTGAATCCAAGATGACGCTTTCACTCTTATTACATCTTCCAGAACTATTGTTCCAGCTAGGGTACATTGTGAGGCTATGAGGGTCACCACTGAACCCATGATGGCCCTTTTCTAAGTCTGACCAGCACCACTGGAATAGTAAGCAATCAGGATTTTGGTTACCTGCCTCTCGAAGTGCCAGAGTGCGAGAATTCACTGCCCTGCTCTGACAATTAGGCCATGCAATTTAAAGTTCATTCCATCAGACTGAACTCTGACTCTGAGCTGGTGAGGTGACATTTTTAAAGGTCACTTGAATCATGGCAACAAACTGGAAGAGCCACTGGCCACAGGTAAAAGAGGTGACCAGGAGGTAGTGGATGTCCTGTCCAGGCCCTGACATTTTCCTTTTATTTGTCTTCTAAGCTTATTCTCCTGGATTCCTACGGCTGTCCAGCCAGTCTGCCGAGTGGAGCTACTGGGCTCCGTTTGCCAGGTTTGTGTCTGTGGCTTAGCAAGTAAAGCAGGTCCGTCTCCAAAACCTATAGACTTGCACTTACTTCCTGTGGAGGTGGATGACCTGCTCTCGGCTGGCTGGTGTATAGCCTGGGGTGCAGAAAGTTGAGGGCGACTGTCTGAGGACAGTCTGACTCCTGACTCCTAACTTTTGTTTGGGGCTAATAGAACTCATGGAGCTGATTTATTCAGTCCCTGTACCTCATGCACAGGAAACTGAGGTATGAGATGAGGTCTTTCCCCCAGGTTACCCCAGGTACTCCACAGCTACTGCTCTTTAATCCCGTGTCATGCTTTTTGGTCACAGGTCTCCAGCAGAGACACTGTAAGCACCTACCACTGGCTGGCCTGGGCCAGGTCTCTGAAGAGAAGAGGCCTCTGGTCTTGGAGAGGGGAGACATAGCTTCGAAGGACAGTCATGAATGAGCAATTGGCTCATAGTGTTGAGACCTTAAGGAACAGATCTGAAGAATGCCTCCTGAGGGAAAGAAGGCAGTGGGGATGGTTTCAGAGTCAGACTTGAAGGAAGAATCGGCTGTAAATAGACAGTCTAGGCAGGGGTGGGGGTGGGAGTGGAATGACTACAGAGACCCATCTGGGTGAGGGTGGGAGGCTTCTGTGAGTAGAAGATAGGCAACTGTGGTGGGCCTTGAATGGCTATAATGGCCTTCCTGCCTCTTCCTCCTGTCGTCTCTCTGAGCAGGACTATGGCACAGTTAGATCTGTCCCATGTTCACTGAGCAAGGACATTGACAGAGGAGACAAGAAACAACCAAATGATTTTGGCCACACAAGTGCCATAGCTTGTTTGCCACCCAGAGAGCCACGTGTCCTGACTGACACGGGCTACATCTGACCACAGAGGATACCTTCTTGCCAGGCTTTCTTCTCTCATCGTCCACCCTTCCTACATGACCGCAAGTGGCTTGACCAGATGGACATCTCCAGCATGCACTTCCTGCTCCTGTAGCAGCTGCTTCCTCTGTACAGGAGTGGTGAGCACAAGGCACTTTGGGTTAGGATACAGGGACCTCTGCTCTAAGGTCCGTCCTATAAGGTCTTCTGAGGGCAGAGCTGGCTTGCTTCTTCTATGAGGGGATATATTCCTTCTAGGGAGGTGCACGTCTGTGGGCGCTCCCATTCCCAGAGAATAATTGGATGTGATACGGGCAGGTAAGGGATGCAACCACAGCAGGTGTTGAGGTGGCTGATGCTGCACCAGGTGTTTTGGCTGATGGGTGAAGCATCCAGCTGTCAATCCACAGGGAAGTAAGGGTGGGCGGAACAGATGTCAGAAAAGACTCAGGACTGCACCAGGGTTTCTGGGTGAGGCACATGTAGGTAACTCTAGAAACCTGACTCCAGGCTCCCAAGGGGAGGCAGGGAGGCAGTGTTACTTCCTTATGGAGAAGACCTTCCTGGGATCACCTTAAGTAATGATGAAACAGGATTTCTATAGTAAGAAATGGGAGGAAGGGCTGTCAGAGTGGGGCAGGTTCTCTAGAAGGGTTGTTGTTTTATTTATTTATTATTTTGAGAAACACTAGATTAGGGGTAAGTGGTGGTAAATTATAAACACACACATATATGTGTACATACACACACATACATACACACATACACACACACACATACCAGTGTGCTCAACACGTAGACAAAACCAACGAGCTGCCTACAAGACAAGCTTTGGGATTTTAAAATGACAAGCTATAGTGCTTATAGGATCTCCAGGGCTGGAGCCAGGTTGCTGTTTGGGGCACATCTTCCTCAGCTCTGTCAGTGCCTTTCTTTTTAAGTCAGGATCCACACGCCTGCCGCCCTTTGTGGAGGCAGTGCAGTCCATGTGGCCTCTGTGCCACTCACCCTACCTGCCTTAGAAACACTCAAGTCTGATTTTGAACAAGCAGGCTTTTAGAGATTTCCTTGCTAGCAACCAGGGTGGCAGGTCATTGCTCTGAAAGGACAAGTTTGGGGTTCATGATGTCTGAGTGTCAGGGCACATGATCACATTTCATCACTTCTGATTGATTAAATCAAATATTAATTCCAAGTCCAATATATATGGACTCTCAGCTGCAATTCTGAACGGGAAAACCGGCCTTGCTGCTCAAGGCGTGGCAGTATGCTGCGCTAAATTATGTGCGGTCAGCAATGGCCAATGTCTGCAGGTGCAGCCTTGCTGGGGAATTTGATAGAAAGTGAGGCTGTGGAGATAGCCAGGCTTTCTAAAGAAGAACGTCTCACTCCAATCTTTGTTTGATTTCTGCAGCTACCTGGGGGGAGGGGTGGCATTGGTTTTGTGAGTGACATTTGGGGGAAAAAAACACCAACCCCTCACAATCTGTTTTTTCTTTTTTCTTTTTTCTTTCTTTCTTTCTTTCTTTTTTTTTGGGGGGGGGGAATAAAAGGCCAGAAAAGGTGCCTTGGCTCAAGAGGAAGGGCTCCTCGGAAGGGAAGGCCGGCGTCAGACACGGTGGGTCCTTCTCTCTGATTAAATACACTGCAGATAGGCAGTTGTGTTTCCACAGAAGAGCAGCAGGGT